GCCACACTCAAATGACCTGAATCCACAGAGTAAGTATTTCTTTTAAAGTGAGTATTTAAAAGGAAATAGATCCTTAAGTAGATGCTCTCTTTCTATTGTTCCTTTCTTCTTCTGCTTACTCCAAATCCCAGCTTGGAGTGAGACATCCTTCAGTACCTCTTGAATGCAACCTCTTGGTTCTTTTTAATCAAAGTTCTCTGGGCCGATGGGTCACAGTAATAACACTACTGTGTTCTGTGCAATGCTTGCGATGTGCCAGGCAATCTCATGGTCAATTCAGGGGAAGAAACTAGTTGAAGAGTTGAGGTGATTTGCCCAAGGATATGGAGTCCTTTTGCAGTTCAAAGCTCTCTCAACCTCTGTGCTGGCATCTGACACCAGGAGGGTTTGAACAGATACTTTGAAATGTCCCCTTTGTCAGATGCCTCATTCTTTCCTTCACTTTTAAGCAGGGGTGAGCCCAGGAGGGGGAGTTTCTCTCTGTCCCAGGGAAGTATTCCCACCCAGAGTACTCATGCCAAGTGTTTTGTTTGAATTAGATTCAAAGCTACCTCTCTGTTGCGTGTCCACCCCACTCCTCCCATCCCCTCTCACGCATCTCCTCACTGGCCACTCACCCTCCCCAGATGTGTCCTCATTTCCACCCCTGGGTGTTTGCAAATGCTCTTCTCTCTGTTCAGAATCAGAATGGCTTCCTCCCCTTCTCCAGTTGGTAAACTTGAGTCATGGGTGGAATTGTGCCCCTTCCCACCCACTCACATGTGTATGTTAAAGTCCTAACCCTCCAGTGCCTTAGAACATGACCTGGGGTTATTTCTATTGTGATTAGTTCAGATGAGGTCATCCTGGAGGAGGGTGGACCCTCTAGTTCAATGACTGATGTTCTTATGAACAGAGAAGATTTGGATAGACACACACACACAGAGGGAGAACACTACATGAAGATGAAGGCAGAGATGAGGGAGAGAGTTCTAAGAACCAAGATCACCAGCAAATCACCAGAAGCTGGGGAGAAGCTTGCAGCAGACCTTCCTTCACAGCCCCCAGAAGGAACCAGCTGTGCTGATGCCTTGATTTCAGACTGCTAGAACTGTGAGAAGATACATGTTTAAGCCACCATTTGTGGTGCGTAGTTAAACTGACACACTCCTGGTCTCAAGACCCAGTTCAAACCTTTTCTCTTCTACATCTGCTTTCCTGTGCTACACTGTGTATATTATGCTGTGTCTTAGTCCACACAAGCTGCTATAACAAAACACCATGGGCCGAATATCTTATAAATAGCAGAACTCTTTTTGGTACCAGGGATGAAACCCAGGGGGGGCACTTAACCACTGAGCCACATCCCCAGCCCTTTCTTGTATTTTATTTAGAGACAGGGTCTTTCTGAGTTGCTTAGGGCCACCCTAAGTTGGTGAGGCTGGCTTTACACTTGCGATCCTCTTGCTTCAGCCTCCCAAGCTGCTAGGATTACAAGTGTGCACCACCATGCGCAGCCAGAACTTTATTTCTTATAGTTCTAGAGGCTGAATGTGTGGGGAAGGCCTACTTCTTCACAGACAGATGTCCTCTGACTCTGTCTCCCATGGCAGAAGGGATATGAGGTCTCTTTGAACTCTTTTTTAAAAGGATATTGGTCTCACTCATGAGACCTCTACCTCCATGACCAATCACCTCCCAAAAGCCCCACCTCCTAATGCCATCACTTTGGGGATAAGGATTTCAGCACATGAACAGGGTGAAGGGTGTGTACATGGCATTCTGCATTAGAATGACTTTGTCTATGCCTCTGTTGTTTACAACAGAAGCTGAGATTTCAAGGGCAGAAAGCAGACCAGATTGCTTTATCTTTGTAGGTACTCAATAAATGCACTTTGAGGAAAACGTGGATGTATCTTCATTGGTACACCCAGCCCAAGGGGTGTTTACACTGCAACCCTATGATGAGAAGAAAAGGAACTAAATCTAAGGTATAGACCAACCAAGGGGATGTTCATGGAAATGAATGGACTTCACAGATGTGCTCTGGGATCACAGAGTCAACTGAAGAGAAGCAATAGCCTGAAGAGAGTAAAAGTGGGCTTTTGGGGGTCGGAACAGCTCAGGTGACAAACTGGAGAGGAGAGGCAAACTCACAGAAGTCCATTGTCACGAGAAACAAATGAGGCCTCCGAAGAGGACTTGGCCTCTGAACAGAGGCCACAGACCTTATGTGTTGGAGGGAAATAGCGATGATGAGACAGCTTGGATCCTGCCACCTGAGTGTATCCCAGCCCAGCTCCATGAACTCCTTCCTACCTGGGTCCAGGAGAAAGGCTGGAAAAGCCAAAAGATCTGTTTCCCTGAATCTCTGCAAAACATTGGGCCACAAAAAGCCCCATGGCTGTATGGCTGCTGAATATGACAGTATTAACTAGAAAGTGGGTGGGAAGCACCCCACCTTCTTGCGATGAGCCACCAACCTTGTGGCAAGTTGAGGTCCGCAGCAGGGAGGAGCAGCATGGTGGCTGTGTTGGGGCTGAAGCAGATTTCTGAGCATGTGTGTTCACTTGTAGAATGTCCCTCCGAATCCAGGGAGCTAAGGCTCTAGGTCACCTGCTGGGATCAAGAAGGAGGCTGAGAACCCTGGAGGTTGACTTGTTAAAGTTAATGGTGGCCCCAGAGACTAGAGAGGCCCATGAACACCTTGGGCTAACCATAGATGATATGTTTTCTTCCCTATTAGCTTTTGCAAACAGAGAGGCAGAATAAGCATTATATACCCCCCAAACATTGCCCAAAACAGCAGTGAAACCCTAGCTTAGCTACTGATTCATAGTCTCTAACTTAATCAGTAAGATTGAGGATCTACACATTGTGTGATTTGATCTAAATTGAACAGGCACAAGGTAACACTCACAGAAAAGGTCTGATCACTAGGGGACAGAACAGATAGCCACCGGGAGGGTGACAGAGAATATAGCTCTGAATAGGCATATGTGGTATATGTGTATGTCCGTGTGTGTCATGTACAAAGACACATTAGAGAAGCCACATGTTGAGAAGCCAAGTCACAGTATTATCACTCAAATGGAGGCTTTAAACACAAAGGACAAAACACTAGGGATTTAAAGATGTTAAGCGAAACTAGTTTCCTCCGATTTTCTAAGTCCCCAAGGCCCAGATTAATTGGTGATAATGAAGAAATTCTACCACTAGACATCACAAGATGCCTCAGTGACTTAACACCAGTGAATCACAACTCTACTTGTACATTAGAACCATCTGGGGAGTTGTTTCTTTTTTAGTATGGGAAGTTTAGCTTTGCTAGATCAATTAGATCATCATTTCTGGGTAGAACCAAAGCCCTAAAATTTCCTTTAAGCTCTTGAAGGTGATTCTACTGATCCAGGGTTAAGAATACACTGGTTTAATCCTTTCGTGATTAACAAAATTAGTACTTTGATTATTACCATAAGTGGAGTGGAGACTGTTTAAAGGAGTAAAAAAGTGTTATATCAAGAAGAAGAACATAATTTTGTCTCTGAGATCATAAACTTTGGAGCTAGACCACGTGGGTTTAAATTGTAGCTCTGCCACTTACTATCTGTGAACTGAGAGCACATTATTTGGTATCTTTGTTCCTCAGTTTCATAGTCTGTTAAATGGAAACAATAACAGTACCTACCTCACAGGGCAGTCATAAGGACTAAGTAGATTTGTATTTTAGAGTGCTCAAAAGAATGCCTGGCCTGCTGTTTAATATATAATATTTATCCTTAATTTTCTAACAACCAGGTTGTTCACAGGTCTAGGTTTGTAGTTGAAATTGATGATGCAATCTATTTCAACATAGCCTTTCATAAAGCATCCTGTCTTTGGGGATGCCAGGCCACAGACAATAGAAATATATATATATTGAACCATTATTAAGCTGTGGCCTTGATGTTCTATCGGAATAGAAGAAAAATCTAAATTATTGAGTGGATGCCATTCCAAATACCAACACGTATGCCATTAAAAATAGTAATGTGGAAAATGGCTTCAGGATTAAAACAGAAATATTTATTTGCTGACACTTGAGGTAGTGCAGCATACAAAATGGAATGGAATACACAAAGTGGCATCTTACAAGATTATATTTCTAGAGGCCAAAGGAAATTACCTTGGGTCTTGGTTATAACCCGAGGGGCAAGTCTCTGTGTCCAATGAAAGTGTGTTTGAAAGAAAGAAACAGAAACTTTTATCTGGGACATCTTGTTTTATGAATAGTTAGAAACCCCAATAATTTTTCTCCAAACTGAAAATGCTGCTTTTCGAATTTCCCATCTTACAAGTTAATATATACTTTTAAAAATGTATTTTTTTAATGTGGAAGTTTTACTTATCACGGCAGGTTCAAATTAGACATCTGAATATTCAGGTTATTGAACTCAGAATTTCTCCCATGGTGGTGGAGAATGGGGATGCTTCATGGAGAAACTAGTTCCTGCACCTGAAGGTTTCACTCCAAAAGAAGGCAATAGCACTTCACTCTTGCCATGGAAATGTCTTGTAGTAGGGGCTGCCTCCTGCATCTCTGCTAATTTTCCACACGACAACAACAACATTACCACATTCTCCCAGAAGGGAACAGCCACACTGAATTGGCCTCTGCTTGGGTCTCCAGCATGTCTTCAAGTCTATCGATTCTTGCATTCTGCTTCTTCCTTCAAGGTTCACTTTCTTTATATTTGAAATATATCCTTTAGTAACTTATTTCAGCAAAGAACTGTGAAAGGTTAAGTTTCCTAGGTTTTAAAAACATGAGTCAGAAAAGCACAGTTTAGTGAGGCACAGACTTCTAGGATAAAGTCCTGGTTAAATATGATGGATTAAGCATAACCATCCAAATTTTGCTTTTCCAGAAATCATGTAAAAACTACAACAAATAGCTTTCATTTAGAAATGTATGAGCCTTTGAGGGTATGCAGAATGGGAGAGAAGACAAAATCAAACTTTTAAAATCTAGAAAGAGAGCCATGGCGAAAGGCAGAGTTGCCGAAGGATCGCAGACTGGAGCACTCCAGACGACCCCAGTGGGGGACGGGAACGMGGGGACGCGGGGCCCTGCGGCGCCGGGGAGCAGAGACCATGTAAAAGAGAAGAAAGAGTGAATATGAAGGTTCCCAGAGATATGGATGATGCCAAGGCTCTAGGAAAAGTTTTATCCAAATATAAGGACACCTTTTATGTACAAGTACTTGTAGCTTATTTTGCTACATATATTTTCTTGCAAACATTTGCTATTCCAGGCTCTATATTTCTCAGTATACTCTCAGGGTTTCTTTATCCCTTTCCACTAGCCTTATTTCTTGTTTGTTTGTGTTCTGGACTTGGTGCCTCATTCTGCTATATGCTCTCCTATTTGGTTGGAAGACCAGTTGTGTACAAATACCTAACAGAGAAAGCAATAAAATGGTCACAGCAGGTTGAACGTCATAGAGAACATCTCATTAACTATATTATATTTTTGAGAATAACGCCATTTCTGCCTAATTGGTTTATTAATATTACATCTCCTGTGATAAATGTGCCATTGAAAGTTTTTTTTATTGGCACTTTTCTAGGTGTTGCACCCCCCTCTTTTGTAGCAATTAAAGCAGGAACAACACTGTACCAGCTTACAACTGCAGGGGAAGCTGTTTCCTGGAATTCAGTATTTATTTTGATGATTTTAGCTGTTCTTTCTATTCTGCCAGCCATCTTCCAAAAAAAACTAAAGCAAAAATTTGAGTGAAAAATCATCTGGGTTTGGGTTTGCTTTCATCATCATCATCATCACCATCATTATCATCTCAGGATTAGCAGGTGCATCCATTTATGTTTTTAAATCACCTCTTCAGTAATTGAAACGAGGAATTTGTAAAATAATATTTCCTATCAGACATAAAATAAATGCATATTAATGCATATAAGTGTCAAGGTAAAAGAGGAAAGTAAAAATGGAAATTGATATACTATGAAAAGTACTGTCATCAATAGTTATTATACACATAAATTATTGTACCAAGGGTACCTCTAGGTAGATACAATAATAATAGCATGGTAGGAATTCTTGGTATAACTGATTCATTCAAGTTAATATTTTTCTCATATCTAATGACTAAAATAGATAGTGGTGCAATTCTTGGTAATATTAGCCTTCTTTCAGAGCTTAAGCTGTATAACTAAAGTTTCAAAGAGATTTGTTTTTTCTCTTTTTGCCTTTGATGTAATGAATTTGTTTAAAGGTTATATCCTCATAGACCACTGAATATAGAAAGGATATCAAGTTACCTATTTTGTTAATATTATTTTTATTTCTCTTATAGACTTTTATCATGGATTAGTCTGGTAATTTAGATTCTGGCCAGTCTATTTTCATCCTTTTTTCTACCTTTTACAATGTTTGCACCGTCATATAAAAAATGAGAATTACATGATAACTATCATTGGAGTTGATAATTTATATTCAGATAATATTTTGTTACAGTGTCTCTTTAATAWMTCTGAAGCTTATAGTTTTTAGACATTAGAATAATTATTTTATATTTTGAAACAAACAATGGCAGCATGGCACTAGTGGTTAAATGTAGTTTATTTGTTCTAATGACTGTAAAATTTACCTCATTTATTTATTAGTCTGGTCATTAGTTATTATGTAATTAYCCCTTTTATGCATGATATACCTAGAAGAATGCCTTGTTTTCCTGTGATGGCTTTTTTTGTTTGGGACTGTTTTTGATTAATGCAGTTTCCCAATTTAGAGTTTTTACTTTTCTAACTCAAAAAAGTAACTTCTCATGTGGTAACTATTGTACTTAAATAGTTCTGGAAAAACTAAACCACTTTTTGCTGCTTGATTAATGGTAATGCCCTTGGTTCCTTGTATCCAGGACACAGCCATTCTAAAGTACTGTGTCAGTTTTAGCTTCATCCCAAGACTGTCATTATGTTGAAAAGTGTTTTAGCTGTGTTAAAAATCCTTTTATGTTTTCATTGTGAGAAGATAAGATCATCCTTAAAGCCTGTTTCTACTACATGATGTGGACTGATTTATTTTTTTCTATCACAGTATTAACAAATGGATTTATTGTAAATACAAAGAAAATATATTGGTTAATATAGTAAGTCTTATGTCACTTGGTCTTTTGTGCAGAATTATTTATTGTTATTTCTAGCAATGTTTTCTTTCTTATTGACCAGAGTCTGAATGATAAACTTTTGTTATTTTTACAAATGAATTAAAACATAGCCTTTTGGGACAAAGTTCACTAAATATTACCATATAAAATGTAATTGAGCAAATTTTTATCAGACTTTTAAAAATAAAAGTAAGAGCTTAGACTCGGGAGAAGCCCATTTACTCTGGTATGTGCACATTGTACTTACTCTATTATCAGAGTGTTTTCTCCATGTTTATTATATACCCTTTCGCTTTGCTATTTATTTTTCCTGTTAGAAAACTATAGCTGTCAATTTAGATGGTGGTATATTTTCTTCTCCTAAGAGAATTGCCAGTTTTTCTAGATTTCCTCATCAGAGACTTTATCAGGCTAAACCCCAAATATACTTGGTGGCCTGTATTCATGGAGTCACAGACTTGGCCTAAGTCCAAATGTAAATTCAAGCTTCAGCCATCTACCCCAACACTTTTTTTTTTTTTTTTTTTTTTTTTTTGGTGCTGGGGTTTGAACTCAGGACCTTGCACATGCTAAGCATGTACTTTTACCATTGAGCCATAACCCCAGCCCCTTTGGTCACATCTGAAAGACCATTATGTAGTAGTGGCCACAAGAGAGCAAGCATCTGCAATGGAAGGTGAGTGAGTTAAATAAATAGAAAGTTGACACACTAAGACACTAAGGCTATTCTCTTCTTAATTAATGGTCTCTCTCTCTAGAGCTCTGTTACTTTGAGTGTAATATATCTAAGATACTTAATAAATGCAAACTAAAATGTAATAATAATAATAAAATAAATTGTACTGGAGAAACTTAAAAAATAAAATAAAATCTAGAAAGAGAATACATAATAAAAACTGACCAAGCAGATAAAGGAAAGTAAAATTTGCAGCTGGCTTGGTTTTTGCTGTGGTATTATCAAGAATCTAGGAAATGGTAACACCAGGAAGCATAGGACATGGGGGTAAAGAGGATGACTTATAATAAGGAGGATGAGAAAAACTGCTGAGAAGCTGTCCTGTCCTAGATTCCCTCTTTATCCCACACTACTGGGTCCTCACCCTGGCAAAAGAATGATGTCTATTCTCTAGAGAGGATAAAACAGGTACACTGGACTTGGAGGCCACATCCTGAAACTAGGGGAAGCCAATGAAGATACTGAAGACTGAGACCTTGCCTCTAAGTCCCACCCCTCACTCAGCTTCCAGAACTGTTAGGCCTAGACCTTTTCTCTCCCAACAGAAGAATTAGAAGAATGGAAGAATCCGTCAAGACTCTGATCAGCCCAGAGGAAAATGTAACCATGCTGATATCAAGGTTTTGTCCAAGAAATGACCCAGCCAGATCAAMCTCCAATGAAACTCAATCAGATCTTCAAATCAATTTTGTACCCATCCATAATTAAATATGAAGAGACATCTAATACTAAATATTTCTATCAGATTTAGAAGATGAAGAATGCCTGTAATATATGAAATAGGATTAAACAAACAAACCATAAACAGGAAAAAGTAACTTGGAGGAAAAATAAACTCCAAAAGGAAGAACAAATTTCTATTTCCTTAAAGAGATGAGCAGTGATACTTAATCCTGGAAACAAAGTCAGAATGCTATATAAAAAGAAGCATTCCAAGAACATAAACGAGAGTTTTTAAATATTTTAAAACATGGTAGCAGAGCTGAAAATTTGGAGGTTCAGGTTGAATCTACCTCCCAAGAAGTACAGCAAAAAKCAAAGAGAAAGAAAATAAGAGAAAAATTATATTATCTAAATTTATATCTACATATTTGTGTTTTATAGAGAAGATATAAAATATTACCTTACATTATAAAACATTGCATAAAACAGTCTAGGAAGGTCAAAGGCTGAGCAATTTGAGTTTCAGAAGGAGAGAATAAATAAAATGAATGAGAAAAAAAGTTAAAGAAATAACTTAAGAAAAATTTATGAACTAAAATACATGTTTTCAGATTGAATGACTCACAATATTCTCAGAACAGCAGATGAAAATAGACTCCTACCTGAGCACACCATTGTGAAATATCAGAAAAAAAAGGAAAAGATGCTCTCAAAAGCTCTCAGAAGGTGAATACATGTCACACACCCAAAAGCAGCTTTTCCATCATAATAATGTAGGCACTGGTGATTGATCTAAACAAAATCACCCTCATTGTTATGTTATGTTATGTTATGTTATGTTATGTTATGTTATGTTTTGTTATGGTCTTGGAAGTATGCATGTCCACAGTGGGTGGAAAAAGAAGGGGTAAAATCCTTATTTTTCAATAATAAGGAAACAATAATAACAATTATTATTTATTATTCTTTGTCTCTGATGGGGATGCTATTGGGAGTTTATTGATGCACTAATATTTGCTCCTGTGTGTAAAATCTGTCTTTATTCTCTGGCTACTATTAAGTTTCACTCCTTGTCTTTGGTCTTATTTAGTTTCTCTAGGGTTCGTTGCAATGAAGATATGATGGGGCTTATCTGAGATCCTTCAAGAATTACTGTACAGCATGATAGTTGTATATTGGGCTAGTTAATATCTCTGGGCACAAAAGTTATGCCTATAAACATAAATCTCTGGAAACATGAGAACAGCCTCTGGATGATGCTCAAAGATAGAGGATTCTGAAAGGAGACTATGAGTCTTTTTTTCTGGGCTTTTCCATAGAAAACAAAATGAAACAACCACTACCACCCAGGGAGTACAGTTATACAACACGGAGTGGAATATGACCCATTGCTCGGGGACAGAAGAGCTGTGGAGTGCTCTAGACTTAAAGGAGAAGTGAAGTCAATGCAGGTCAGGCTGTGCTTCCACTGATTATTAAGAAGTGGCCAACTGGGCGGCAACCCCTCAGTCATTGCCTCTGCCCCACCATCCCACCCACCCGCAGTCTGTATGAGAGAAGATTAGGGAAAGCAGAATCCTGTGAGAGGGGTGCTGCTGGTGTTTTGGTGAGCCCCACTGGCCAGAGGCAGCAGGGTTATTCTAGTATGATGAGAGCGGACTGTTGGAGCTTGCGCCCTGGGGATTTAGATGAAATTTTCAGCCCATAGTCAGTGCAGCATATTGAAAAATTGAGCATCAGAATAACTAACATTCATCTTACATTCATTTAAGCCTCCCCATTTTAGCAAACAATGAATAAAAATTGAAAAATAAAACTGGAGTCAAGAATAGCTAAATAATGTTTTTTGGTGGGAGGTGGGTACCAGGGATTGAACTTGGAGACACTTGACCACTGAGCCACATCTCCAGCCCTATTTTGTATTTTATTTAGAGACAGAGTCTCACTGAGTTGCTTAGCACCTTCCTTTTACTAAGGCTGGCTTTGAACTCATGATCCTCCTATCTCAGCCTCCTGAGCCGCTGGGATTACATTGTGCACCCCTGCACCCTGCCAGAATGAACTTTTTGACAACAAAAATATCAAGTTTTTCAGGCTTATTTTCTCCACCTTGAAAGAATAGTAATAATTAACAAAGGCGTAAATCAAGAAGAGAATAACTGAATAATAACCAGCATAGGAAGTTTAGAGCCAAAACTTCCCTGATCTTCAATTGACCTTGAGCAAATGGCTTCAGCTCTCTGTTCTTCAGCTTTCCTAGCTTGACAATGAAAATACTCTGATAAACCCCCACCCTCATTATGGTGGTTGGAAGTTCACTGGATTCAATATTGTCAACTAAGCTCACAGCATGAGGAAAGCCAAGGCAGACATTCTACTCCTTTCAAATTTATACAAGAATCTATAAAACAATATCTTGAGCAAGAATCATTAGGTGTTTATTTTTATTATTTGCATAAAATACTTCAAATAATAAAATAGAAACTTTACATACAACCACTAATATTCTACATTAAAAGTCTAAATACGAAGACTCCCAATTGCAGGCAATCCGCCCATGTTTCTTGCCTCTTGTCCTGGTGACATGTTGGGGTCCAATGCAGAGGAGAGGAAGTAGCTCAGCAAATGGACAAGGAGGCCAGTTCTTTCCTTTGTTGCCAGAATTCCTGTTTTTGTTCCCTAATCTTGCTCATTCCCAAGCATAATTAAGTTACAAGCCTGAATCACAGAATATGTTCCCAAGATCCTCTTGAATGCATGATTTACAAAGACAGCTTCAAAGTTGAAGCAAAGCTGGTGTAATGGCTTGATTCTTTAAATACAAGTGACATTATTACGTTAAGAGGAAAATAATAAATCTATCAGTAAGACATTTAGGCTTAAATTCTTTCTCGAGGATACTGAGTTAATTAAAGAAAGAACATACAAAAGAAGATGACCTTTTCCATATAAGCATAAATACACCATCATTAACAAATTTCATTACAGGGGAGAGGAGGCAATGAGCAATTCTAGTTTAGTTCAGCATTTAAGTTAAGATGATGGACTAGCAGACTGGTAGTTAATGTTTTAAGTAGTTAAATACTGTTATAAGGTCATCCTTTAAAAACTGACACGAGCATTAAAAATAAATGAATATACTGTAAAGCAATAAGCTTTTGTTTAGACTTGGGTCATATTAATGATTTATCTTTCTTGTTTCAGCCAAAGATAATTTAAAAATATTAATCAGAAAGAAAGAATTAGAGTGCTGACTAGGTCTTACTTACTACATCCTTCCTCATAGTTCTGAGGCTTTATTATATTACCCTGTTGAAGGGAAATTTGTTTTACATTGACAGCAAACCAAAATAAATCTAGCTTTTGTGGTGGAAGAGAAATGCTGTATTTTCTTAAAATTGCATTTTAATGTGCTGACGAACTCAAAGCAACTGTTCTGAGTAATGAATGCATAGGGAAACTCCAGACCAAAGGGCCTGGAATCATAACGATGAAAGGAAATACCCTGATCTTATTTTTTCCTAAAAGCTAAGCTTAGGTTCCAAGTACTTTCATTCAACAGTTCCAAGTATCTTTCAATGGTGTCACTCCAAAAATGAAACAAAGGAAAATAAACAAAGAGATATCTGAATGCCCAGTCTGTTCCTATTAGAAATATGTGGTTAATTGTCTGATTAACAAGTCTTTGTTTGCTAAGCCTAATTGCCTAGGGGCCAGCTTGGTGGCAGGGAAGCTGACTCCTTGCCAGCAGAGCAGTGGCAATGTAACTCTACTGTAGTTTCAAGAGCCTGGGACTTAGTGTCACATCGCCTGTGTTCAAATCTCAACTATACTACTTAGCAGCTCTGTAACCTGAGATATGCTGCCTGGGAATCTCAGTGTCTTCTGTAAATGAGAAATGGTGACATGGGATGATGCATGTGAAGCAATTAGCCCAGGTGTGACACATAAAAATAATAATAAGTGTTAGTTATAAGATTGGATGATTTAACAAATCCTGAGGGCATAACCCAACTACTATTCAAAAATTATTTAGGCAGGTATGCCCTTATCACCAAATCAAAAATTTAGAGACTCAGTGACTTCTACCAGTTGCCCAAGCTAGTTCCTGGTATAAATTAAAAGCACAGGGAACCATGTAACCCCAGGATAATGAGAAGAATCCATGATGTGCTCCTTAACCAGGCAAAGCAGTCTCCCAGAGGGAGAGGTCATTGCACAGTCCGAGTACGCTGGACTTGAAATGAGAAAGAATCTGGATTTAATTCTTAGCTTGGTCACTATAGTGAGTTAAATTGTGGTCCCCAAAAGATACATCCAATTCCTGACCCCTTATTTAGAAAACAGGGTCACATTCATAAGTATAAATATATAATTAAATTAAGGATGTCAAGCTGAGATCATCTTGGATTTAAGGTGGGCCCCAAATTCAATGAATTTGTA